TTCTTTTTTTTTTTTTCTTAAGGAGATTCACAGGCAAAGCACATTTTCAGCAGAATAAACCACTTCACACAACGGTAGGTGAACTGTGTGCTGTATAAGAACCTCGTCCCTGGCGAAGCGAATCGGTGTGTGCTCACTTTATTGTGCTTGGTTTGAAGCAGTGTGCTTTATTCCTTGCTAAAAAACAACATTTCTTAACAAGGACATATCGGCCAAAACATTGATTAACTGTGGCTTTTAACAGCTTACTCAAAGAGGTATGAATTTAATTAGCCCTCGTCAAAGTAAGAAGAATTAGCATTAAGCTGCTTTATAACTCAATTCTCCTGGCTGGAGGACAAAATGAAAGGAATAATTTTTTAAAGGGAATGATTAGAAAGGTGATTAAGTGATGCTGTCATGTTTGCTTGGGCAATACAAATCTGGTTTTAAAAACCAGAAATATGGCAAAGGCAATCGGAGAAATGCTAAAGGCCCTGATTTGTCATGTTGGTATTGCTGTAAACCCTGACTCTCTGACTTGGGTTACGTTAAAGAGCATTCTGAAGCAACAGGACCAGTTAATCTGAGTTCAGATGGGATCCTCTTTGCTTAGAGGTCTGTCAAATGACGTCCAAGACATGCCAGCTCTCTGACTCCAAACCCCATGTTTTTTAATTAGTGTTGCTCCTCCTGGAATCTGATGGACATCACTGATCCTCATTTTAGGGAACGAATCCCTGCCACTTGCCCTCACTTCCAGCTAAGGCCCCAATACACAAGTTGCTGCCCCAGCGCCTTCTCCTGACCCCTCTGAACGCCCCTCCAGAGGTATCTGCTGTCAAACTGCAAAGCCTCCTGGTGTTCCCCCACGCCTTCCTGGGGCTGCACGGCACTGACAGAGCTTCCCCTGATGATTCACAACATTCCCAAGCCGTGCACACAACAAAATCCAAGTGCGCTTATCTCAGGACTTGGGAGCCTAAACCATGATGGTTTTGCTGGTGGGAACACACTTTTTGCTCTTCTTCATGTCTGTGTCTTTAGCCTGGGATCAACTTGGGGAAAAAGTATTTTAAAAAGCAATGGCAGAACGGCTGTTGAAGAGAGGATCTAAACAAGAAGAGTGTACTCAAACACAGCAGGCTCTGCAGAACCTGCGGCAACAAGTGGGAAAGAGAAACCAAGGAGAGTAGAGATGCTCCAAAACACTGCAGTTAAAATAAGAAAGGATCTGGAGTCTAAGACTGCTCAGAGAAGCGGAAAAACCTAAAGTATTTCTGGGAAAACGGCCACTGGAACCAAAGTGTTTCCACTTTCAGGGGCCCCCAGGGCTGGTGGAACTTGCTCACACAGTGCTCAGCAAAACCTGGAGCTTTTCAGGACAACTGTGGCTTGTTCAGTTGATGACAGAGACAGGCTGAACTCTGCAAAAAGTACCGAGGGGCAGATCCTGCTTTCAAGTGATTTATGGTTATTACTATCTATGCCTAATTGAGAAAGCCATGTGATCTCAGATGAAGGAAAAGCACCTTGCCCTGCAGACGTCCTCACCAGGGCTAAAAATCCACCACCGCTCTTTATTTAATCCTCCTCACCTCCAAGGAAATACAAATATGGTGACTTCCAAGAACACATGTGATCCAGCTTGGAGGAACAATAAAGGTAACCACTCTGATGGTTTATCGGGATTCACCAGATGGTTCTGATGTGGAATTGGCCCCTTCCAGCTTCTCCAGCCTCAGGCAGAGGACAGGGAAGCTGCGACTGAAAAGCTGAGAGTTACGTGCTCTGCTCCCAGGAACACCGAGAAATGCCAAAGGGCTTTGGAGAGCAAACAGCCAGCTGGGCATGGAAGAGCCCACACTGCAAAACAGGAGAGACTGTGGAGCAGCAGTGCAAAGGCTGAGGGAATGAAGGCATGTGGGGAAGCTCTGACACAAGAAGCTGTACAGCTGCACCACTGCTTGAGCTAATTATTCCTAATTAGGGCAGGCATGGAGCCACAGTGCAGCACATCTGGAATGAAGTTAATAGCCCTGCACAAGCCCACGAGGTGCCAGGTATGTCTGGCTGGCTTTAGGTGCAAGTAAAATAGAGGAACCTTCTTTTAGGTGGTGCTGTGCAGCATGTAGTTAATTGTACAATGGCAGCATGTCTCTGCTATGAGCAACAAGCAAAAAAGAAGGGATGGATATTAAAAACCCCAATCAGCAACTGTGAACCAAAGAACCACAATTCCAGCACCATCTGGGGACTCACAGTCTGTTAAGTCATCCAGAAGCCCTTGTTGGAATTACAGCCCCCTAATTCAACACTTCCACAGCTTTACTCTGTTATTATCATTATTATTGCTATTTTTATATTCTATATGGATCAGCAGTTTGGAGCTGTGCCCCCTTCCCCCTGCAGCTGCTTCAAGCTATGACAAAATCTGCTGTTGCCTTTTCAACATCAGTACCTCCTCCTCTTCCCATTCTTCCAGGAGCCATGGAAATGCATCCCCTGCCTAACACCTACTCCAGCTTTTCTCCAGCGCGCTCACGTGCTAGTTTTCTCACCCTTTGGTCCTCCACCAGGGACAGTGCTCACCTCCTGGGAGCTTCCTGTTTATCTCAAACCAGGAGAGATGCCAGAGCACTAGATTGGTGTCCTGGGTACATCTGCACAGTTTATCTCTTTTCACATGTAAATATTCATGAGGCAATTCCTAACCTCATGGAAGCTCCTGACAAATATCCCCTTGCCTGACTGCAAGAACTGAATATGTGGTGGTGTTCTCCTGGCAGCTCCTCAGCCCATGTATTTGAAGGTTAATCCATCCCCACAGGGCCATGACCACAAGGCAACACCCACAGCCAAGGGAGAATATTCTATAAGTTCTGGAGCATTGGGTGTTATTGGCAGTGATGGTTGGAAGGATGATTTATAACATGAAATACTGCATTTACCAGTTGCTTTTATGTGTATGTATGTGTATTTACATATATATATATATTTACACACTATATATATTTACATATATACACACACTATATATATTTACATATATACACACACTTATATATGGCATACAAAGTGATATTAGTTGGTTGAATACACTTGACACTTAAATATTGCAATAAGGAGTCAACAATAATGTACCAAAACATGTAGCTAGTTAAGCAATTCCCATCATTACTTTTCATAGAATAGAAACTTGTAATGTCTGCTTCAGCTTTTCTCCCCCAAAATAAACATTTTCTGATTGTTGTAGGCTTCACTTGGGTTTTTTGACTGCTGAAAAGTGGTCCCTTTCAGCCGATTTTTAAAATTTTAATGTAGGTTCCCTGTAGCATGAAGACGTGGTTTGGGTTTTGTGACAGAATCTTTTCTTCTGGAAGGCAATCACTGAGGTCAAAATATTTTTTTTAATTTTATGTGAATAACTAATGTGGCCAGTATCTTTCAGATAGTGCAATGTCACAGCAAGATCAGAGTCTAGGAGAAAATGCTTCACCCAACACACCAAGGGATGCGCGAAGCACGTGGCAGAAGTAAGAAAACCTTTATAGGTTCTTCCCTTGCATGTGTGTGGCTCTGCAGTAGAATGTAATCCCTTCATTTTGGAGGAGGAATTTCCACGGTGATTTGCCATGGGAATCTTTTATCTCCACTGAGGCACTGCAGACACCTTGGCTGCTGCTCTGGGGTGCAAAGATGGGAGCACGGAAGGATTGCTGTAGAGGAATGGCAAGACCATCGACGGCGTCATCCGAGTGTCCCTAGGGAACAAATCCTGGCCTTCCAATCTGAAAGGAGTTCTCCTGTGCATGAGCCTTATTAACCACATTGTTCTGCAAATACTCAGTGTACTTCATGTGTCTTTCCTGCCTGTCCATGCCCAGCAACCCAAGCTCCTCAGACGTGCTGACTGTCCAAGGAGCCACAGCAAATTACTGAAGCTGTCACCTGCTGGGAGTCTGGACTGGGGACAAGGGCAGTAGAGGCTCAGCTGCCTAGCAAAGCTTGTTTCCCAACTGTACCATGAACCCTGGATTGCTGACAGTGAGGAATTACATGATTCAGACACTAAGGATAAGTGTCTAAGACACTAAGGACAGGCTGGAGGACACCAGTGCTGGGAAGGGCCTAAGAGAAGCTACAAAAAAAGCCCTGCAGTAGCATAAAGAGAAAGGCCCTACAAGAATAAGAGATGCAGAGAATGACTCCCCACCCCTGACACGGGGGCTTAGGGGCCATTTTAGTTGGATAAACATACAGTTCTCTACCGGAGAACAAGAAACAACCAACGCCAACAGAAGTCACCGTGTTGATCATTACCAAGCAATGCACAGTCACAGCCAAGCAAGTTTATTCTCACCCTGCTCACAGTCTGAAGGTAAATTCATGTTCTAACACCTCCACCATTGGTTTAGTTGCCTTGTGCAAGCAGCTGATCATATTTATACTTCAATTTTCCCAAAGTCAATATTTTTCCCAGGTGTTTCAGCTTGGGGGTTTCTTATTTTAAGGGGCCTGATTTTCACCGTGTAACCCTTCAGCACTTCCTAACAGCTAAAGACTATTTTCCCTTGCAAAATTCTTACTTTAAATTTCTCTTTTTCCTCTGTGCTTCTGTTCTTGGTTCCCAAGAGCCAGGCAGATGCCCAGGCTGTGGTGCCTCCACTCCTGGCATTCTCCTGGGAATGGTCACTGTGACCTCACACGAGGGATGTGGTTACATGGTCACTTTTCTGGATGAGCAGAAATGGCCTTGGAGGAGAAGCTGGGCTGGACCAGGAGCCAGACATGCACCACTCAGTGGGGTTTTCGTGACTCCAGACACTGAGCAGTAGAAAATTGATAAAACTCAAGCACCAGAATTGTGAACTCTTAAGACTGACACTATTTACAACCAATTCCTCCTTCCCAACATCCACTGCCTTCCCTTGCTTCTTTTATTTCAATCAAGGGCTTCATAATGCACAAATAACTGAAAAATATAATCACAGTTAAATGATATGCAAGAAAAAACCCACTTAGACTGGGCATAAGCCCTCATGTTCCGGATCCAGGAGCCTTGTCCACTCAGGTACAGGGACAGTATCACCTATTTGGTTTTTTCCTGGGTGAGATCTGCAAAGCAACCAAGGAGTTGCTGGTTAAATGAATGGGAAATCTTTAAGTCTGCTATTTATCTTTGAAAACTTACCCTTAATAAATACCAATAATAAAAAGAATAATAAGAACAACACTAATAATAATAACAGCAACAACAATAATAATAATAAATGCACTTAAAAATTAATTTTCTGGTCAGCAGATGAAGATCAAAATGAAATGCTGTGATATCTGCTGTTGCTATCTGGGTTGGTACCTATCTCACAGTGCTCTAATATCTGCCCTAAATTAATGTAATAGCCATGCACCGCTGCTTCTTTATAAACACAGGTTTGTCAGGTCACACAAACACTTTCATTTGAATCCCTTCTATTATATACAGCGAGGATCCATAAAAATGAACTAAAAGACTCTTTTTTCCTACCCTTAGGAAGATTCCTTCTTCCTATCATTGGGCCATCAAGGTTATAATTAAAGACACTGGCTGCTGTGGCCTGTATACATAATTGCAGTAAATGATCAAGGATTGTAAGCACCAGGATAAATGCATTATCACTCTGTCTAATTATCGTGTTATCTGACTGATGGGAGGCTGTTTTATCTCCTCCTGGGATGAAGGACATATCTGACAGACACCAGGACCTCGCTTTGATGTCAGATTTGTATACGGAAGAATCAAAGACTCCAACCCTTCCCAAAATGGTTCCAATGTGGTTTAATCCCGCCAGACGATTCCCTGCCCCGCTGCCAGAGCCTGCTTTGAAGTGGCACCGCGCACCGAAAGCCGGAGCGCCGGGGGCAGCCCCACATGCCGAGCAGAAGGCCCGTGCCCGCCGTCCCGCACGGCCACCCCCGGAATGGCAGGATCACAGGGCGCAGGGGGGATGTGGTGTGGCTGGGAGGCGGGAGGGCTGGAGGAACACGGCTGGAAGTGCCACCCCCAGCACACGCCCGGGGCGTGCGGCCCAGCGCTTCCTGCTTTTGGCCGTGCTCATCCTCCACGCTTCCCACAGGAGCACAACCACCAGCCCTCCCCGCACCCAAGCAGGAGCATGGCCGGCTTCTCCTCCACCACCAGGACCGCCCTGTCCCCACCGACTCGCACACAAGTAACCCCAGTCCTGGGCCACACAGGAACACAGAATTCCCATCCCTTCCCCCTTTCCACCCCTCCATGACCTGGCATCGTCCCACCAAAGCATTTCTCCATGGCATCCGTGATAACAGCCAAGCACTGCTCAATGTCACAGTAATAAGGGAAGGCTGGGAATGGAGGAGAATGGGAAGGGGAACCGGTGATGGGATGGGAGAGGGCGAACCAGGCTAAAAGGGAGGGAGGAGCACAGAAGTGTCAGCCTTAAAGAGTTAGTGAAAGTGGTCCTTCCTGTACGTTCCCAGCGGCTGGAGACCTGGCATCCCACCATTCCCAGCCCCCTCCCCTGCTGAGAACATCCCTGCTTATCTCCCCAAGAACTGACTCCTGCTCCACTCCAGGCAGTCAAGCAGCTCAAGTCCATGTGATGGCACAGTGTTAATTCTGTCCACCATTCATTATGACATAATCTCTAATTCCATGATCCGTTTTTCTTTAAGCAGGTTTTTCCCGGGGGTGTCCCACTGCCATCTCCAGCCTGCCGTGCTAAAAACAACCCGGTATCCCCAGGCAGCAGCAACTGCTGTGCTAACAAATCATCTCAGAAATGGTTTTCATAATTTGAGGAACTGCATAATTATGATAAGATAATGAATCACATTTGTACTATTTCCAGCTTTTTCTTGCAAAAAGAAATGATGCCAGGGGCCTGGAAATCGTTTCTAATCATTTCTGTGGTACAGGAATGAGCAGATAGTTTAGTTGTCAGGGGTTTGGGGGCTTTTATTTGGTTCTTTTCGTCCTCCTTAGTGCATTCTTCACACACCCTTTGGCCATTTATCAGCCATAGCAGAGAAGGATGAATCCTGTGGAGTTCTGAAATGTCCTAAGCCTGAAGCACTTTACTTTACAAATGAAATATTTTTCCAGTATGGGCTTTGTTTGTACATTTAAAATTCCAGGTTCTAAAAGTAAAATGAACAAACTTTCCTTGTTCACATTCCCGAGATCCCACCACTGCCCTGGGAATGCTCCAGCCTCCACTGCCCTGCACCAAACCCGGCATCCTGCAGGGCAGATATCAACTGGGGGTTTTGCTGAGCTTCCTATCAGGTCTGTGCCTCCAAGATCTCCCGACGCCTCTACCCTCCTGCTATTCTAATTAATGTATCATATTTTAACAATCTAACACTAATTTCTCTTTGTACCCATGTTTTTTTAAATAGAGATCAGTACGAATTACAAGATGGGCACTCGTGTATTGTCATGCTTAACGTCCCTCTAAAAATTGCCTGTCAAGCATCTTTAGGGTTTGTGACACAGCAGCAGCAAAATCCAGACATGGAAAAGGTGAATTTGCAGCAACCCCCCCCCACCCCGTGGATCTGCCCACTCTAAGTGCCCTCCACCCAATATAATATTTTTTTTTGTGCCTTACTGATAAAACCCAAACAACTTTGAAATTCTGATGACATCAAAGTGCAGCTTCCATTACTTTTAAATTGCAGTTGTGAAACCTGCTGGCCACGAGCAGCCCTGGTAAGGTTGCAAGTGCTTTGCTGTCCCTTGCACTTTTAGTAATAAAAGTACATTTTGAACAAATTGTTACGGTGTTGAGCAACTCTTGTAGGACCTCGTCTTTCAAAAATCAACTCATTTATATAATCAACACATTTATATATATAAACACATGCATATCCACTTATTCAGATGAAGAGGCTAATTATGTGATAAACTTGAATTGCTTTTATTGTTATATGATCTGCAAATGTGGTTGCTTTATGCTGCCAGACATTCATTACCTCCTATTTATTTATAAAGGCTTTGTTTATTACACAATAGGAATCTTTTTAGGATCTTGTCCATTCTGCCTACCAGCCCCCTGGAAGTCCTGGCTGCAATGTAGCCACCAGACATACTGATTTTGATTTCAGTGGAAGGTGATTATTAGAGATATGATAACACTGAAGACAAGTCCTTGAAGTAGCTCAGGACTGAGTGAACCCACAAAAGCTTTAATGAAGGTTTCGTGGGAAAAACCACATCACTCAATGAACAGCTGAACAATGGAACAATGCAAGGCCAAACTTTATCCAGATAAACTGGAACAGTTATCACCCACAGCTCATAGGAGAATTCATATGCTCTTATACATTCTCCATTAGGAGACTCTCTGGCTTCAGCTCAACTATCTACAGAATAAAATTCTACTTACTATGGGTGAGGTGGTCAAAACCTGAGACACCACACTCACTGCTAAAGGTGCCCCAAATTTTCTCATCGACATTTTTCTTTCTTCTACCTGGAAGTGGCTTTTCCACGTGAGCACGTTCCCCCACACTGAAGGCAGAACGCAGATCTATTTGATTGGACTTTTTAATTAGTAAAATAAGCAAGCAAAGAATTTTCAGATTTTAAGGCACAAAAGAAAATCCACTGAAAACATCTAACAGATAATTAGTTTTTGGAGGGGAGCTGTTCTATTCAGCCTATTCAGCCTTAAAGTGTGGAAATAATCACCCAAATCATTCTAGTCGTGGGCTGTAAAGTGTTATACCAAGCCTCTGGACCCATTGCTAAGCAAGTGCTAACAAGCCATAGATACCTAAATAAATCAAGACTATCAGCTTCATCCTGAGCTCTCCCAGTCTGTTCAACTGGCATCAAAGACTACAGAAGTCTTTATTTATTTTGACTAAGGTTAAGTTTTTCTCTATTTTAACCAACACTTTAATCTTCTGTGCGAGCTAAGGCACCTCTGAAGAAGTGTCTTCTCTGCCTTCAGCCTTTCTCTGACTCCAGCAGTGCGGAAAAGGAGCACAGAAAACAAACATTTCAGTAACCAAGCAGAGTGATTGAAGGGCTGCTGTGTCAGAGGTATCCTGACTGCTTATTTAAATCCCTCGAATAAGAGGAGGGTTCATGAGTGACATCTAGAGGTAAATCTTTAAGATGACCGGGGTAACTGCCTGCTGGGGCTCAGGTACCTGCCCCGAGCACTGATGCCTCACTTGCCAGCACAGGGAGTGCCTGGACACACCGTGAGAGTTCAACTCGCTGCACCAACACAGACTTCAACAAGTAGGTCAAGCCAAAAATTTTTCAAAGAGAAATTATTTTCTGTTGAACCTCCCAGCCAGTGTTTCAAGAGAAAAGTGATGAAGCTTAAATGAAAACTTTCCATTTGAGTCAAGTATGAAACCACTTTTCCCTGCAGAGCACTTAAGTTCAAGTATCTCCTTCCTCATTCCATTCTGTGGGTCTGAGATCCCTGGCCAGATCTCATCTCCCAAACTATCAAGTGTTTCTTCTCTTTCCCACACGATATATGAGAAAAACCTCATAAATAAAGGGTTGAAACACCTGGGCTACAACTCACAAAGGATGGTGAGACAGCATACAAGAGATTATGGTATAACAGAAACGAGACTTAAACAAGGTGGAATTGGTGACTAGATTTTTGTTCTAATTAAAAAGTGGGGCCAAAAATATTATGACACCTCCAATTTGAAATTTCCAGGAACTTCTCTTACAGGAGGCCCACAAGAGAACTGGAGAGGGACTTTGTACAAGAACACAGAGTGACAGGACAAGGGAGAATGGCTCTAAACTTACAGAGGACAGGTTTAGATTAGATAATAGAAAGAAATTCTTTATTCAGAGGGTGGTGAGGCACTGGAAGGGGTTGCCCAGAGAAGCTGTGGCTGCCCTATCCCTTGAACTGTTCAAGGCTGGACAGGGCTTGAAACAACCTGATCTACTGGAAAGTGTTCCTGCCCATGGCAGGGGGGTTGGAACTGGTTGGTCTTTAAGGTCCTTTTCAATCCAAACCAATTTGTGATTTTCATTCTTGTGGCTTTTGGGACCTGAGTCATGTAGGCAGAGTTCCAAGGCAGCTTCCCTGCCTGGCTGCCTATCCATGGGGAACCTGACCTTGTGCTGTGAGAGCAAATGTGCCTCTTGAGCTCCTCCAGGTGACACAGCTGGGCCTCCCCTCAGTGAACTCAGCCCAGGCTGTTCAAATATGGGGCAGCAGCCTCTCCTGGCATGACTTTGTGCCCATCTGTCTGGAGATCCTTTCCCTTGGCTGCCTTATGTATATATATCATTAAATGTCTTATAGCTTTTGTCCACACACAGGTTTTGGAAGTACCAGGCAAGCTGGTGTCTACTGATTTCATAATTTGAGATGAAATACTGATGTAGCAGAACTTCATTCAGGACAGAAGTTTTCTCTCCCCTCTAGCAGTGAAAGGCCAGCTACAAGCACACCCCCAGCCAAGGATAACCAGGTAATGACATATCAAAAAATAATGGGACCAGCCATTCTGCCTGAGCTATGGCTGTTTGGGACATTTCTGACAAGAAAGAGGTGAGAGGGAAAGGTTCAAACTAAAAGGAACTACCACAGAAGCGAAGGATACTGATGAAACACGAACATCTTGCACAACGCCGTGGATGCTCCGCGCAGGAACGGGAAGGAGCCAAACAGATAATGGAGTCCCTGCCTCAAGTCCTGTGGCATTACAGAACGGGCTGGGGTGTGCCTGATAGC